TTCGCAGTTTCACTGCTGCTTCGAAGAACTTTATTAAGCGGTCATTGAAACTAAATTTGAGACATTCCAGTATCCGGTTCTGATGCTTAAAAATGCTTTTCAAAAGTCAATCCAGGCCATAGCCATTTCGGTCATGCCCATTTTTCAGTTATAATGTAGCGTCTTGTTCCGTTTGACATTCTTTTGTTCTGAAAACATGCTGCCGTTCGCCTCGAGATATTCGTTAACTATATTGGATAACATAGACGTCAGGAATTTCAACAGCGTTAGAAGGCACTTAATTGATCAGTAGTTAGTCACATCGCCATAACCCCAGTTCTTGTCCTAAAAGACAAGTTATGTCTTTCCTTCCATCAACCGAGACTGTGATCCTTCTTCAAGCACTCACTGCAAGAATACCGCCAATCGTGAAAGGACACAAGTCAGTCGTTTAAGCTACAACGCTTGCAGCTGATCCAAGCTCTTTTATCATTCCGAGCTCCTTGCGTACATTCTTCTCGGGGATTGCGATCTCTGTTTTTTTTCTTCAGAGATTTCATTGGCATTCATTTGAATTTCCAGGTTAACTCTCTGTCACTGTACTTTATCTTTCTGTAGAATTGAGGCGAATCTTCCGCGTTAGAATCAATTATCTCAGCAATACTTGCGAGATTGTTATTGGCCTTCAGTTTTCTAAAAAATGCCTTAGCATTTTTGAACGAAGGTGATCCTGTTCTGTTCGTATCGCTCGAACCTCTTCTGGTTTGTTCTGGTTAAGCTTCGCTGATACAACAAATAGTTTCAGCTTATGGCCCTCGCTGCTTTGTCTGGTCGAATTCTGAACTGTTTCATTACATCCGACGATGATATCTTTCTGTAAACATATTCAACTGTTGTAGTTGGCTTAATTCTCAGCGTATTTATTCCTGTTGGTTCTTCATCCTTCTTAACCAAGGTGGCTCGTCTCCTATTCTTGGATTTGTTTCCAGCTTGACGCAAAGCTTCTTCATTACCACAAGATCTGATCACACCATTGATGTATTCCAAATTACAGGCTGGCATCTTCAGGACAGTGTTGGCTTGAGGGATATATTCTTGTAGCTGTTTACTGCTTCAGACGCAAGGATACGGTTCTGACGTTTTTCAAACTCGTTCCTTTCAAACATTTTAAGGATCTTCTTTCGAAGCGATGTTTGTTTGTCATTCAGCTGGATATCTTCCTTCACTACAGCCATTTCTCTCTAACCTCCCAAACCTTGCCTAGGATGATTTTGCTGATATAGCGTTCTTCTGATCTCACCCAGTTCCAGCTGTGTTAGCAGCTTATTCTTCTCATTGAGCCGTTTGTAATGTTTCTCCCTTGCAACACTGAAGGAGTAGAGGCTTCTTCCATTCTTCAGCATTCCTTTTAAATAGCCCCTTTGGTGCTTCACAGCAATCTAGCAGTACCTAATTAAAAACCAGTTATTTCCCTTCGACCACTGCTTGCGCACTAGTCG